TTCTTTTTCCCTAACCTATTTAAGAGATTAATGATCTTATGATCTGATATTTAAATATTGCTTTCCATCCCCAGGTGCTTATAAACAAAGGACCCAGTCCATTAAACACTTACTGCTGAGCATAGTGCTCTTTACTTGAAGAAACCAGCACGCTTAGTAATGAAGGATTAGTTCCAAAACCATTCAAATTACCTCAGAAAGCACTTCGTCAACCACTGAACTGCAACTCATTCTAGAGTCAAATGTGACAACTGTTCAAGCAGCGCCCAGCAACATCATACAACTAATTAAATACGGAAAGTGATCACAGACTTAGGGTACGTCTTCACTACCCGCCGTATCGGCGGGTAGCAATCGATTTATCCGGGATCGATATATCGCATCTTGTTAAGACGTAATATATCGATCCCCGAACGCGTTCACCGTCGACTCCGGAACTCCACCAGAGCGAGCGGCGGTAGCGCAGTCGACGAGAGAGCCGCGGCCGTCAATCCTGCGGCGTCTGGACCCCAGGTAATTCGATCCAATAGCTATGCTATTCGCATAGCTGAAGTTGTGTATCTTGGATCGACCCCCCACCCAGTGTAGACCAGCCCTTAGAGTAACATGGTATAACACTCCCTCCCCATTTTTATGACATACTCTCTTGGCCTATAAAAACCAAGTAGTAAAAATAATCTTCACGCTAGTTAATAACGAAACCATTTCAACTGGGAAACACAGAGCTTCGGGATTTTGTTTTGACTTTTAGATCAAGGTTTTAAGATCTTCAGATTGTTCTTAGAGTTGACTTAGAACTTTGTCATAAGATAAAAGTAGTAATTTAAAGTCAACAGATCAAATATCCTTTGCCACCCAACTGTATCAGTGGTCCCGGAAACCTCATGTTAGTTCATCTTACAAAAAGCAAAGTATGTACCTTAAACAGCTACCAAGATGAGGTATAGGCTTCACTCTCCCAAGACGACTCTACTATAGATGGAGCACAGTAGCAATAACTATCTAATCATAACTGCAAAATTAGATAAGGCATCCAGATAATTACAGTATGTCAAACTACCACATAACACCAAAGCTTGAATTCAAACATGACCTTGGACTAAAGGAATTCAGTCTGACAATACAACACAATCGTCTTTACTTTTGTGAGAAAAATGATCTGCTACTTCTTGTGCTTCTGAAGATTTTGATTTACTACACATAGCCTGGTTGCTGCTGTACAGAGTTTCATCTTAGTCTATATACACTAATTTACTCCATCCCTAGGCTTTGGTTCATGCAACTTTCTTGCTATCTTATTTTATTTCTGTAATCTCCTTAACCATCGGACCACTAATCTACTAATGCAAGTAACCTCTGCAATGGTCTTTCCATGTGTAAGAAACAAAAACTTATTGCCATGCTCTACTAGCAATAGGGTAAACATATTAGTGCTCCCTATCCATTTACTACAGGTAGCTTTTACTTAATTGTGATGGACAGGAATCATAACTATGCTCTTATTGATGGGCTCTGTACACACAGGAGTCCAACTTTGGAATTAAAAAAAAAGTGGAACCCTGACTATTCGTGAATCATTGGTAAAATAAAAATGGGAGACTCAAAGGTATTTATAGCTATAATTGTTCCAATGTGGCAATATAAAGCCTTAATACCTGCATATTACTATAGTTACATTATGTGTCAGTCAAACCCTTCACAGTAGACATAGTGACATCATGACTGGTAACCATGACAATTCTGTGTGGGGATGTGTCAGACTCTGATTTGAAACCATCTAGTCTCTTTAATTCAATTTACCTTCAAAGTGGCATATCACAAGCATTATTGTTCCACCCAAGCTCTGGACAGGACCCTCTTTTAGGACCTAGTAAAGATATCCCATCCCTCAACTGCTTCTAGATATAGTGAGGCAACCCAAATATCATAGAATCATAGCACTGGAAGGGACCTCGAGGGGTCATCTAGTCCAGTCCCCTGCACTCCTGGCAGGACTAAGTATTATCTAGACTATCCCTGACAGGTGTTTGTCTAACCTGTTTTTAAAAATCCCCAATGATGGAGATTCCACAATCTCCCTAGCCAATTTATTCCAGTGTTTAACCACCCTGACAGTTAGGAAGCTTTTCCTAATATCCAATCTAAACCTCCCTTGTTGCAGTTTAAGCCCATTGCTTCTTGTCCTATCCTCAGAGGTTAAGAAATACAATTTTTCTCCCGCCCCCTTGTAATAATCTTTTACGTACTTGAAAACTGTTATCATGTCCCCTCTCTGTCTTCTCTTTTCCAGACAAAACAAACCCAATTTTTTCAATTTTCCCTCATACGTCATGTTTTCTAGACCTTTACTCATTTTTGTCACTCTTCTCTGGATTCTCTCCAATTTGTCCACATCCTTCCTGAAATGTGGCACCCAGAACTGGACACAATACTCCTGTTGAGGCCTAATCAGCACGGAGTATAGCGTAAGAATTACTTCTCGTGTCTTGCTTACTCCTGCTAATAATCCCAGAAGGATGTTCGCTTTCTTTGCAACAGCGTTACATTGTTGACTCATATTTAGCTTGTGGTCCACTATGACCCCCAGATCCCTTTCCGGAGTACTCCTTCCTAGGTAGTCATTTCCCATTTTGTATGGGTGCAACTGATTGTTCCTTCCTATGTGGAGTATTTTGCATGTGTCCTTACTGAATGTCATCCTATTTACTTCAGACCATTTCTCTGGTTTGTCCAGATCATTTTGAATTTTAATCCTATCCTCCAAAGCACTTGCAACCCCTCCCAGCTTGGTATCGTCTGCAAACTTTATAAGTGTACTCTCTATGCCATTATCTAAATTATTGATGAAGATATTGAACAGAACCGGACCCAGAACTGATCCCTGCGCGACCCCACTCGTTATGTCCTTCCAGCATGACTGTGAACCACTGATAACTACTTTCTGGGAACGGTTTTCCAACCAGTTTTGCACCCACCGTATAGTAGCTCCATCTAGGTTACATTTCCTTAGTTTGTTTATAAGAAGGTCATGCAAGACAGTATCAAAAGCTTTACTAAAGTCAAGATATACCACATCTACCGCTTCCCACCTATCCACAAGGTTTGTTACCCTATCAAAGAAAACTATCAAGTTGGTTTGACACTATTTGTTTTTGACAAATCTGTGCTGTCACTTATCACCTTATTATCTTCTAGATGTTTGCAAGTTGATTGCTAAATTATTTACTCCATTATCTTTGTAGGTACAGAAGTTAAGCTGACTGGTCTATAATTCCCCGGGTTGTGCTTATTTCCCTTCTTATAGATTGGCACTATAGTTGCCCTTTTCCAGTCATCTGGAATCTCTCCAGACTTCCATGACTTTTCAAAGATAATCGTTAATGGCTCAGATATCTCCTCAGTCAGCTCCTTGAGTATGCTAGGATGCATTTCATGAGGCCCTGTTGACTTGAAGACATCTAATTTGTAAGTAATTTTTAACTTGTTCTTTCCCTATTTGAGCCTCTTCTGATCCCACCTCATTTTCACTGGTATTCACTATGTTAGACGTCCGATCTTCTTGGTGAAAACCGAAACAAAGAGGTCATTAAGCACCTCTGCCATTTCTACATTTTCTGTTATTATTTCCCACCCCACCCCCCCATTGAGTAACGGGCCTACCCTGTCCTTGGTCTTCCTCTTGCTTCTAATGTACTTGTAAAATGTTTTCTTGTTACCCTTTATGTCTCTAGCTAGTTTGATCTTGTTTTGTGCCTTGGCCTTTCCAATTTTGTCCCTACATACTTGTGTTAGTTCTTTATATTCATCCTTTGTAATTTGACCTAGTTTCCACTTTTTGTAGGACTTTTTTGATTTTTAGATCATTTAAGATCTCCTGGTTAAGCCAGGGTGATCTCTTCCCATACTTCCGAGGGCTGAATGTGTTCCCTCTGCAATACTTCCTGCTCATGCTAGCCTGGAGACACAAATCTGGGCAGGGAACTGAATCTAGGTTTCCCTCACGGAAATACAAACTTGTATTGGCCCAAAAATCTAGATAATGGATTACATACAGCTTATGGAGCTATAATTCAGAAAGAAGTCCTTTATTTAGAAGATAATGCTGCTGCTGCAGCCCATAAGATGGCTTCATCCTTTCAGCCCCCAAAAGGTGTTACTGAAGAGCCACAGTAGTTGTGAAAGGGAAAGGAACAGAAATATAAGAAGTTTCCTACAATAAGCAGAAGCAAGCTAGTGCATCCTGTAAGCCAGAGAGCTACTGTAACTGCCTATCAAAATTAAGCACTGAAAAGGCTTATTACATCTTTAAAATGATAAACGGACTACACTGACTACACTTAAATAAGAATCTTTTCTAAAAACACAGTTTGTACCAAAAAATGAATTAAAATATTAAAAAGAAGAATAGACAAACTAAATTATCTAATTTTTTAAAAAGAGAAAAAAATAGACAGGGGCAGTCAAACCATTTTATTTTTTATAAATGCATTTTTTATTTTTGTAGGGCTGGGAATCCTTTAGGAAATAGTCAGTGCCCAGAGATAGCAAAGCAGATGTAGAGAAAACAAGGAGCTTTTGTAATTAATATATGGCTTTGCAAACAGAGTAGCCAGCTTTGACAGAAAGGAAAGAATGCCAACATAATGAGCGAGTCAGACCAAGACTAGGCTGGATGCTGGAACGGACTACACTGACTACCCTGAAAAGACAAATACCACCAAATAAAAATGCAGCTGCGTTGGTCCCAGGATATTGGAGAGACAAAGTGGGTGAGATAATATCTTTTACTGGACTAACTTTTGTTGGTCCAATAAAAAATATTACCTCACCCACCTTGTCTCACCAAATAAAAATGGCAGACTGACCTGTTGCTCATATCTTTGTTTGAGTTCTTCCAACTGCCAAGAGAATTCTTTTGACTGCTTTTCACGGAGAGATTTTGATCTGCTTAGATCTGATTCCACCTTTTCCATCTACAAGGTAAACAAAGGGAATATTTAGTTTTTAAATGTATAGCTTCTAACACATTTTGACACATTTTTGATAGATGATGGCTAATCAAAGGCCTGAAGATAAAAGTCAATAAAAAAATCCCCATTTGTAAGGAAATGAACATATCAGTATATTGAGGATCATTAGTTAGTTACACAAATATATCACCTGTTTCTGACTAGCATGCATGGTCTTATTTTTCATTCACTAGTTGTAGCATCCCACAAAAATCAACTGAATATTATTTATACATGACTAAAAATATTTTTTTTTAAATATACTGCTTGTTGAAATTTAGTGGAAGTAATGCTCTAAGTTGGATGCACAATCTATACATTTAAAATAAATTTATCTTAAAATCAGTAAAGAACCTTAAAGGAGAATTATTTGGCAGCAGGTTCTCCGAAAACAGTCATTGCGTATGAATAACCAGTCACACAGATTCCCCTACATGGTATCAAGGAAGCAATTTCATAACTTAGTTAACAAAAGCTTTTGTATCAAAAGCACAACTATCAGTTCTGTGTCACATTTCCAAGGGTTTATGTACATACAGTACGACACCTCACTTCTTACCCACCAATTCCTTTTAGATCTAGTTCCCAACCTAAGTAGCAGTATCTCCCTAAAGGGGGTAGAAGAGGGAAGGGGACTATAGCTATAAGGAATCCACTTTCTGCTGCAAGTCCATCGGCCGTACCAGAAGAAGAAAAACAATGAATTTCTGTACCCCAAGCTAAAATTCCTATTTGGCCTAAAGGAGTGCCCATAGATGTATTTGCCAATGGGCTCAAATGCCACTTCTAAGCCAGATAAGGAGGAGGAAAGTGATCACTAACAATGGGGAAGCCATTTTAATTAAAAGTTATCTCAAGTAAAGGGAAAGATGCATGGCCAGGAATTGTTTTCCCAGATATAGGAAGGGGATGAACTGCAGGCGGAGCACAAACAGCAATGCCTCTCTTCCGTGTCTCTCCCCTCCCCCCAACCCCGAGTAAGCCCTTAAAAGAGGGACCTCCGTTGCTATCATCACCTTCTCTCTCCTCTCAATCCAGTTTAGACCCATCCTTGTAGCCCTTTATTTCCCCATCTCATACATCAAAGAAAGGGAGGCCCCTTAGTTTTTCCCCAACTACACTTTACATAAATGAAAAACTAAAGCAAAATAAAGTCCAAAATATTAAAAGAATCTTTTTAATAATGAAAATGTTCTAAAAATTGACACCGAAAATGTATACAAATAAAGTAATATATTATATAAACTCTACAAATAAAACAATATGTTTCTGTTATTTAATCTCTAGCACAGAGTATGCATATTGGCCATAAAGTGCAATGAGGTTTTCTGATTCTCATTTGCCAATCCCAACAAATACTAGAGCCAAAATATTGTCACATATTCTGTTTATTCATTTTTTGGCAGTTACTATTTGGCTTTGTAAATACTTTTCTTTTGTGAGTGATGTGTATACAGTGCTTTTCATCTAAACTTCTATAAACCAGTCTGATTTTTCTCCCTTTGTCTTTGATGCAGCATGCAGTGTATGCTATTAAAATCAACTGGCTAATGCTCGAAGCAGCATGTATGAAAACATCAGTTATATTTATACCCACATAAACACCAATACATGAAGTTTTGTCACAGGACAGCCACCTAGATCAGGAAAAAACAAAACTGAGCTTAAAGTTGAAATTGTTTCAGTCACCCATCTAATGGACATCAGATGACTTAATAACCATGAGCTTATTGAAAAATAAGAAGCAGATGGCAAGTGATATCTCAAAGTCATAAATTACATGAATAAATAAACCAAATATCAATTATACTAACTGATAATGCCAGACCCCACTCCATTTGTTACTTCCTTAACTAACATTACAATGAAAAGAGGATTTCAGAAGTTTAATATTTGCAGTGCAGTTCAGAGTCCAGTGTTACTATAGTTACTAAAGATTCCATTTTATGATGTCAGTAGGTCATTCTATGCTCTATCCAACTAGGAGAAAGCAATGGCATTTGCTCCAATATTATATCACTTTGTCTTTGGAAGAACATATGTAGCTTATTTGAGAATTGGGTGCATGTGTGGAGGGGAAATGAGAAAGGACGGGTGAAAAGAGAGCTTCAGTATTGTTTCTCTGAAGTACTACTTGAAGCTTAGTCACTGTAGCATAGTTTCCTACAATCGCTTACATTATCATTTGCTCTTTATGAACTTGACCCCAAGAGGTTCATAACCTGCAAGCCTCACTGAAGTCAATGAGAGTTTGAAGAGTTCAGTACCGCTCAGGAACAATCCCTATATTCTGAACTGCTTGATAACTTAGAAGTTTAGAAGGCATGACTGCCACATGCTATCAACATTTACAACATGCTTTGACATGTCTTAGCTGAAAAACAATAGCCTTGAAATACTCGTTATACAGAAAAGTGTGCTATATGCTTAATAAAGGCAAAGCATAAACTGATTTGCTCTGTCAAGAAGGAATGCGCAATTGACATCTGAGTTTTCCATTTACGTTTAGAACGAACATATAGGGCCCAATTCTGCCACACTCGTCACACTGGGTAGTACAGTACCTTACTCTGAAAGGTGCCCCACTGAAAGCAAAAGAATTAGTCAACTGGAGTATTTTTGGTATAATTAATCCCACAGCGCTATGTTAGAAACCCAGGGGTAAACTAGCTGGGCTACTTGAGCACCTCAGAATAAGAGGAGGCACTGTGTTTCAGAGATACCAGACAGCAGCAGCAAGCCCCCCAGCCAGGGTTGACAGACTCAGGATCACACTACCGCACTACAAACAGCTGTATAGACCACGCTGGAGACTGGTGCTCAGACTCTGAAGCCTAAGGAAGGGGGTAGTCTACAAAGCCCAAGTTCCAGCCCAAGATGCAACTTCCAAGGGCCCTCTACACAGCTATTTTTAAAGAGGTAGCTCAAACTCCGTAAGCCAAGTCTGTCGACCTGGGGTGGGAGGCTTGCTGCCAGGGGTTGCACAGGCGAACATATACCCAAGAGGCTGGAGAGTAATTTGTGACACCCGTTTGTGGGGTGCACCATAATCCTCTCCAAGTGGCCAGTCAGATCCACTGGCTGAAGCTTGCATAGGAGAAATCATTGCTCCATCTATTGCCTGTTCCCTCTCTGCTCTGAAGGGAAGCATTTGGCACACAGCCCTTTGTTCTCCCCCCTAGCACCAGAGTTGCAATACAGGCAGACCTTAAGTGGCCATGCAAGGGAAAGGGGATTCTTACTTGCTTCTACTCCTCTATATGGTCACAAAAGGCTTGGCACGATGAAGCTCCCATTGAACAGTAAATCCAAAGAAGATAATTCTTAGTAGATGCAACATCCATTTAATGCTCTCCACCAAAACTCTCAAAAATATTCTAATTTTTTCTGCCACTAGAGACTACTTTCTAAGTAATGACATGATCCTTTGAAATATGCCCATTTACTTTGCTACTTTCACTTCAATTCATTTCAGTCCTTCACAGACAAATCAGCAATGGTAAATGGGCACTTGTGTTAGGGATATTTTTTCCCCCACAATCATCAATTTAAAAAAAAACCACTGAAAATTTCAGCATTAAACCAGAAATTGTCAAGGTATTTCAAGGCAAAATTTTATTACCAATCTAATTCTTTCCAATAAAGTACAAGAAATAAACAAACATTCTACTGTGCCTAATTAAGCATTTCAAAATCAAATGGGCAGCATTGGGGGCAGGGAGGGAGCTAGTTAGATGGCTGGAAATTTGCTTAAATCAAAGAGTTGCCAAAGTGCTGATTCTCCCAAAAATGTCAAGTTTTACCACAACAATCATATAGATCAAGTGTTAATAAATGATGTCCAGATGGAGACGTCTTTCTGTTGTACTGTGAGCAAAATAAGGTTAGACCACACATTAATGGAATGCCTGTTATATTAACAACAGTGTAAATTCTAAAAAAAAAAAAATACCTCTATCAAAAATCTTCTCTTAAATCACTACATAGATATTTACTCAGACAAGCACCGCACAGGTCTCATATATCAAATAATTTGCATAAAACTAAAATTTTATAATAGTCAACAACAATAGGACTACCTCCATGTAAGGTAATACTTATCAGCTCTTAATGTATCTATTTGTTCGTTGTGGGCCTGATATCAATAGGTGTTAATAACCTACAGCTCTCACAAAATCAATGGGAATAAAAGGTGGGTAGCACAACCTCCCCCTTCGCCCACCCTGTTTGCCCCAAATGGTTCCTACAGTCTAGGTTCGAGGGAGTCAGTCCAGATTTACATTGGTTTTACTGAGTGCATAATTTGCCTCAGTACGTTTAAGTTTTAACATTAAGGACCATATTCTGATGCTCTTATTCATTGAATAGAACCTTACTACTTACTGAAGTCACAGACTACTCATGCCGTAAAACTAGTCAGAATTCTGCCTTAAATCAATAATATCTGAAATATACATACAGACAAAATGTTTAACAGTTGGTTAGTTCAAACAGTAAAAATGTGAACATCTACTGCATATCTAGTTCAAAAAAGAATTAGATAAATTCATGAAGGATAGGTCCATCAATGGCTATTAGCCAGGATGGGCAGGGATGGTGTCCCTAGCCTCCGTTTACCAGAAGCTGGGAATGGGCGACAGGGGATGGATCACTTGATGATTACCTGTTTTGTTCATTCCCTCTGGGGCACCTGGCATTGGCCGCTGTCAGAAGACAGGATACTGGGCTAGATGGACCTTTGATCTGACCCAGTGTGGTCATTCTTATGTTAAAAAAAGAAATTCTCAGCTATGAACAAATTTCTTTAAATTAGCGTATCATTTTACAGTGTTTCACTATTACAATTTTTCATTGTTTAACCTTAGCGTGTTGAGTGTTTATGAAATTAAAATATAATATCCCAATGATGGAAACAACAATCCAAGTCAGTATGCAAAACACACAAAAATTAAACAAAGACTGATACAAACCAATAAGAGCATGAAGATTAAAAATTATGGCTAACTATTGCTTAACTATTGCCCTGATGGGTCTAGTTTGCAAAATAAAAGTTGCCTTTTCAAAACAGACTCCGCTTTTTTATTTCAAAATTCCATTATCTGCTCTCTGCACAAGACTTTTAAAACAGAAGATGCCTTACAGCTCTGCTGCTTTTATACTGAAGATTTTGAAAGAAGCAAAACCAGCATTTCACAACAAAAACAACAATTGTTAAAAATATAGACTGCATGCAAAGTTGAAAGGTTTTCATTCTTTTCAACAAAATAAGCAATCAAATTTCTAGCACTACTGCTTTGTTTCTCACCAATATTTGGTTCGTATTACACCACTAATACGAATTAAAAAGTTAATTATTTCTGAATAAGACGTATATATCTGTATAGTATTTATCTCAATTATGTTTATGCTATATTTCATTTCAGTTACCGGTAAATATTTATATCATTTTTACTCTTTTTCCATCATTTTACCAAATCAATTTCATACTGAAACAAAACAGTAAACAAAAAATCTTATCACATAAGACTCTCTCTACGCTGTACATGGATTATGCAGAAGTGATCCCTTTAAGAAGTTGTAAAATGTTGATTCTTATAGTATCATACATTCATATAGCTCCTTTCATCCCAAACAATTCTGAAGCACAAATAATATTTTACAGAGATCTATTGATGGCTAGAAGTGGCAACTGCAACAAGATCACATCTTCCACTATTTCTATTGCTCTCCAATGCAAGAGGAAAGCCTCAGAACTGAAACAATCTCTATTTTATTGAAGTGTTCACCAAGGTGCTTTACCACCAGTTGCCCCTTAAATCCGTTGTAAGTCTCATGCTACATCATCCTGTAATAAGAAACAACTGGATTTTCCCATTAAAGAGGCAAGTTGGCAAGGCAGAATGAATCAGGTCAATTCACTAGACTGAGATACCATAAGCATTTTTATGACATTAGTAGGCCACTCCATGTACCTGCATCTCCCTTTATTTCTCATCCCTTCCCACTCTACTGTTCATTATTCTCACTCATGTGCTATCTCTAAGCTCCTTCGGGCCAATACATTAATCTAGTTTGTTCTGTAAAATGACTATCACACGAAGTAGTATGTAAATAAATGATCGTTAATAGTAATTTTCAAGTGGGAAAAAGGCTTTTGTTGTCATCTGCTCATCAGTGACCACCATTAGAATGAGCCTGGTTCTGTTCTCATTGAAACTATTGCAAAATTCCCATTAATAGGAGAATGACATGTCCCTAAAAGAATAGCCAGAGAGACAAAGTTGAAAAAATGGGAAAGTATAGACACTGTTCCATAAAAGTATATAGACTAATACATTTTACTCTGAATCCTGGAAAAGCTCTAATCAGTAATACAACTGTAGATAGCTGTGTAACAATGACAATTCTGGCTTTCTTATAAAGATGAATCAACTGCTAACAGCCCCCTCTGACTTGCTAGCAAAGTCACTACATTGTGAAAGATTTTGATGTAGCACTATCAAGTGAAACATGTTTCTGGCATGAGAAGATCAGAATATGCTATCCTACTGAGACAGCGTTTCAGAAAGGCTGGCATTGTGACCTTCTCACCTGCTGTTTCATTTCAGCATAGACTTTTTCTGAGTTCAGCTCCACCTGCCGCTTAAACTCCTCCAGGGCAGCATCTGCCTGCTGGGCCTGCAGCCTCTGTACCTCTGTCACCCGAGTCAGCTGCTCCTCCTTCTCCCTAGAAAGTCACAGAACATTTTCAGAGTTCAAGTATCAAATAAAAGAACAAGTGTGCTGGTGTAAAAGAAAGGCCTTTAACCCTATCAGTTTAAAATAGTATTCAGGTTTCAATTTTCTGTCCCAGCTTATGCCCAAAACTTTCCTTAGTAATACTTTGAAGAACAGAACAGTAACCTGGGTAAGAAGTCTAGCATGATTTTCACTTTCTCTTATTGGATTTAGCAACCCAAGACGGATATCATGAAAGCAACACCGCCTTCAATTAAGATACAACAGCTTAAATGATACAGCTTTATTGTGCCACATATAAACTTTTTCTTTAACCTTTCCTTCAATAACTATAATGTATCTTCCACTGATATTTAAATGAAAAAAAAAAGGCTTTGCAGTAAGACTATATTGTTCCATTAACTGATCATGTCCCCTGTACCATCTCTGCCAAGGGGGAGACAGGATTATTCAACCGCCTGGCATATATCAAAATATTAAGTGTTGAAAACATGAGGCATATGGTACCTGCATAGTCAAATCTAGTGAAAACCCTTAATACTATGACATCCATTCAGCCTTTACAGAAGTGATATGAGTTAAATTTCCAAGTCTTATTATCCCAAGGCACTGTATCTTAATATATCAAAGAATGAACTACTATTTTTAGGAACCTGTACACATATTTGCATTGTTATTTTTAAAATATTTACAAATTATCAAGATGTAACAAAACTATCACGATATACAGATGAAAATATATACATAAGCAAAAAATCATAGGCATCTGCCACTGTACTGACATATCACTGTCCTCATTCGTAAATAATTTTTAAACATTTTGATGCAAACTTTTGAAAGGAAGAAAAATAAGTTAATAGGAAATGTTTAAGGATATTACATTTTTAATATCAAAGGCCAGATCATACAAACACCTTTTAGTATAGAGAGGCATAGCATGGTGGCATAAATGGCAACAGAAAAATAGTTAAAACAAGGCCTGGATCTACTAGGTGGTTCTGGTTCACATTTTCATTTTATACGCAGGGATAGCCCCTTATGGTGAATATCCCATTTCTTGACTGAAATGATTGCCATCAAAATCAGACACGTTAGAGATGGAAAAGACCAACAGTTATCTATCCCATCACCCTGCCAGCACTGAGCTCGCTATCAACAAGCAATCTTTTAATAAAGGTCTGGGAGCTGCCAACTCCAATATGCTGGAAGTTGCTGCATTCCCACCCGCTTCTATTGCTTTCATAACAAACTTTGACAAAGAAAGCATCTTAAATCTTCACAAGTTGGGGGATCAGGAGAGGATTCTATCCTCAAAAAGATCAAATAACTGTTGTAGGTTATGGCTAAATACACACAGAAAACTAAATGGTCATGTAACAACAAAAATATATTTGAAAAAATACCCTATATTTCTGCTGACCTGTATTACTGTAGGACAACTCAGACGTAAGAGACTGAGAATTCTCTTAGGCTACATCTTCACTACGGGGGGTGGGGGGTGGGGTCGATTTAAGATACGCAAATTCAGCTACGCGAATAGCATAGCTGAATTCGACGTATCGCAGCCGACTTACCCCGCTGTAGGGACGGCGGCAAAATCCACCTCTGCGGCTTCCCGTCGACGGCGCTTACTCCCACCTCCGCTGGTGGAGTAAGAGCGTCGATTCGGGGATCGATTGTCGTGTCCCATCGGGACGCGATAAATCGATCCCCGAGAGGTAGATTTCTACCCGCCAATTCAGACGGGTAGTGTAGACCCAACCTTATATAGAGCATACCTATTTTTCCTCCCCTCCATGTAAAAAAGGAACTGGGCACAACAAAAAGACTTACATGCTAATTTTAATTATGATACTTTGTTAGATTTTCTCACGTAATACATTGGAAATATCCTTGTGAAAACAGTTCTGCCATTTTTCTTTGTCAACCACCTTAGCCTTTTTATGCTCTCGCCGTAATATTGTTAGCTGGTATATATAACCCTTAGGCAAACATTCTTTATGCTCAATGCCAAAACATTTCCATTTTCTAGTTTCCTTTTATGGACTGCGTAAAGATGCAATCCTCTACATGAATTTAATGCACCACATTTCCAACCCACTTACATACCAGTAGCTTGTTCTTTTTACAAACAACTAGTACCAGCTGCTTTTTCTTTATACAAAACATTGTTTTATTTCTGTAACAGTCCCTTATTTTAACCTATGAAATTAAATATTGCTTCTCAGTTACTTTTAAAACTATGTACATATTAAGTTGGCTCACCCTCCTTTGCATTCCCTATGATCTTGTTTGAACAATTTAGGTCTCCCCATATTCTTTTACACTAGCACACTTTTCACATGTTTCATTAAATCCAAGAAGACCAAGTTCTTTAGATTGACATATACTTAATGGCATTTCCTTTGTTTTTGTCATGTTTCACACTTTAAATAGAAAAATAATGATGATTCATAACACTTTGTAATTCTATGGTAACTTCTACCCAAGACTCTCAAAATGCTTTACAATCATTATTGGGTTACTCTCAAAATATTGCTGTGAGGAAGGTAGGGAGCCCCATTTTTCTGACAGGAAACCTGAGGCACGGCAAGTTTAGGCGAATCGTCCAATGACGCAGCAAGTCAGTGATTGCGCCAGGAACAGACCTCGGAACTCCTGACTCCTAATTCTATGCTTGAACTGTTAAACCATTCTCCCTTTCCAAAGATTATACCCAGATAAGTGGTAAAAAACCAACATATGATTTTATCTCTAGATTCAATGTGCAGAGGGAACGGATACATTTTAAGTTGTACCATACCATATGATAGTCAGGAGCTATGGATTTAATGATATTTCATACAGTTTACAAATACAAAAACACAGGCAAATTATGTACTAAGTGTGGCTCAATTGCCAGGAATACTCTTCCACTATCACATGACACATGACAGTTGAGTCGTGGGGGTGGGGGGGAGGGTGGCATCTGCCTGTAGAAATTGGGGAAGGAGAAGGCTCAAAGCAGAGATAAGAAGCACATGCATCATTCCCCCCTCTTCCAGCCCCATTGGGATTCTACAGGAAAATTAATACAGCATAGGTTGAATTAATTTTCTGCTGGGTCCCTGTGCATTGTAGGACCTCCTTAAAGTGAGGTAACAAAAGCAGACAAACTGGAGAAATCCTAGCAAAATGCCACCAGTAAGGTGCTGCTTAGGAGAACTAATTTAGAGGAAACATCGTGAGGGGAACCTCAATGTCTTTCTAATCCTCCCCAAGGGCCCCTACCCTAGGTGACTGAATCCTGGGAGACAATTTACTCCTCCTGTCCATCTGAAGCCTTAGCATCAATTCCAGATAAGAAGTAAAAACAAACATACAGCCTATCAAACATATCCCCACCGATAATTCACAAGAGACAATGGAACTCATTGTCTACCCAATAATGTGATGATAAAACTACATTTAAAAGGAGGTGTCAGTCTTTATGCTATTAGAGAACTTCCTAATTGGTTTTCATGCATCTACTTCCTTGAAGACTAGAGTTTCATACTGAAATATTATGAAATAAATGCAATGAACTCTACTTAACCTTTAGAAATCTGATTTTATGTACCTTCCTTTATTTCAAGGATTTAATCCCATGAACAGATACAACATGCTCATTATAATCAGGAATAAGACTTCATTTTTTTCAAGGGTGTGGGCGTCAGTACTGTCTACTTGTTATACATTTAAGATTTATATTGGAGCTTAGAAAACATGTACAACAATGGACTGTGGTTCACAAATGTAAGAGCAGCTTTATTTTTCCCCCCAGACATTGAGCAGTGTGCTTTGCATGAAGCACTAAAATATTCACTTTGAAGATTATTTTTTCTGTTGTACTAGTTGTGGGGCCCAGTACAATACACTTACATCACTCAAATCCCCTAAAGCTGAGCCGGCATGAATATAAAAAAAAGGGTGAATTTACTCTTTGGCCCCAATTTATTTATAAAAAAGCAGCAAATTCCTCTTGTGTCAGTGTATAAAGGGTACGGCAACAGAATTAGAAGTCTTACAGAAGCACAAATCATCGCAGTTAAAGTTGACTATGAAGTCTAGGATGGCAATTTGAGAAAGAAGCACTGTGAAGTGTATTTATAAATGGAATATAAAATGTTTTTATTTACTTTTCCTTAGTGCTTCATCATAATCATTTCCCTTAGTTTCTAGAATGTCTTCCTGGATGTAATAATCAAATGCAGTAAGCTATTACAGTATTACAAATCAAATCAATGGAAAACAGTGGTGGTCCAGTGATTTACATGAGATAGAATAACCTCAAGAGGCTCTCTCAGATGTAGTATGAACCAGTATTATTGTGAGTAAGGTTCCCAAGGGCCTTTGGATGCCTACCACAATATGACACAATAAAAAAAAATTAAATAAAAAGACAACACTGGCAGAATGGTAGGGAAGATAAGCCAATTTATAAACAACCCATTCCCAGCATAAAGAACCCACCAAACACAAATCTTCTATTCATTATGACATTTCAGAATTCCTCTCTCTCTCTCTCTCACACCCCCACACCCCCACAAGCACACACACCACATTCCTGGGTGATTAATTTTACTTCATACCCCCACTGCTCAGCATACACACAATTTGTAGTTGATAGGGTTTTTCAGTAATATTGAAAGTTTGTAGGTCATAACAGTCCTTAATGTTTTCTTGTTAAAATGATACCAGTCAGTCAGATTCATGACTATGTAAGTCCTTTGCCATGTCCTCTTACATTTCTGGCAGCTGTGGAAACCCACTTATAGGGACTGAGCAGCCTAATGCTTATAAAGGTTGGTGAAACCTATAAATGGAGATGAAGGAATCACTTTGACAAAGATGTATTTTACAGAAGAGTGTGTTTTCCTGAAGCCTAACGGCATGGACACAGAGAACAACAGTATGAAATATCCAGTTTATGAGCAAGGTGTATGTACTAAAATTCAGTGTGAAACATGC